TTGTTTCTTTCGCAATGTATATCTATCATTATACAAATAAATAAAGAAATGATGTTTACCTACAAAAAAAAAAAAAAGATATTAGTCTACTATTTATTAAACAAATATATTATTTAAAAAACTATTGAATAGGAAAAACCTAAGTAACTATTTTTTGTAAAAAATAAAAAATAAAAAAACATTTGAAACAAAATTATTAGCATTGTAAAATATTTGAATAGAAAGAAAAAAGAAAAAAAATTGAAACTTTTGTTAAATATGATTTTTAAATATAATTAGATGGTTCAGTTAGATGTAAGATTTTGTAATATTGTTTTTATATGATATAGTTGTGTTGTGATATAAATAATAGGATAACTGGAGTATATTCCAGATACTTATTAACTTGTTTTAATAAGTTGTTGTATATTGTAATTATGGAAACTTATACAGGACACTAATAATATGTTCTTTCAATCCAATGAGTTGTTATGTTGTTTTGGTATATAAGAGTAATACTAAATATGATTAATATTTTGTATATTATAAATTATTTAATAGGAATAAACAGATTGTAATTTTTGTATTAAAATTTATGAATCAGAACTAGTAACTAATCAGAATATTATATGGAATTCTATACTAGTTATCATTAGCAAAAAATAAAAAAACTCTAAAAAAATAAAATGATATTTTTTTTTAAAAAATAAAATAAATTTATATTTTAAAATTTTTTAATTTTTTATAAGTATTAACCAATTTTATTAATAAATAAATTTTTATATTAGCAACAATCTTATTATTCTGAATAGGCATTAATTATTCAGTATTATTGTTAATTTTATATATTAACTATTAAATTTTATTAATAGTTTGTTACAAAAAGCTATTATTAATTTATTTTATAAAAATTGTTAATTTAATAACAATAAATTTTTGTTTATATAAAGTTCTATATTTAATGGCTGCTTGTAATTAAAAAAATCATTATAAATAATTTCTATTCATAAAAATCTCATTAAGTTATCCTATATAAAAAATTTAAACAAAAATTATTTAAAAAATAAAAAATAAAAAATATTCTTTATATTACTTTTTTATATTAAAAATTTTAAAAAATTTTATATTTAAAAAATAATTCTAAAAATATTTTATTAAGATGTTTTATAAGAAAAATTCATATAATTTTTTTTTAGATTATAAGCAAAGGGATTTTTAAAATTTTTTATAACCAAATAATTTTCTATTAGGGAATAAACAAACATGATTTTTAAATAATTATATTTTTCTTAAAAAATTATTTTTTATGTTATATTTATATACATAAACTATATAAAATTTTAATGAATTTGTTTCACTAATATATTTTGACTTATTTTAACCATTAAATTTAAAAATAAAAAAAAAGTTTAAAAATGATCTTAAAGAAACTTAAATTATAGGGTTTAAAATTAATTTCAAAAAATTATGACTCACATTATATATACAGTAATTTTAATAATAATAATTTAAAAATATCCGATGTAATTTTTTATTTTCTCTGTAAGTACGTATAGCTGGGCATATTGTAATTACTTAAGGCAAATTCTATTATTAGAAATAATCTATAGGACAGTAATAATATATTGATAGAGGTTGAGACATTTAATACATACAATATCTGTTGTAATTAGCTCTATACTATAAATAAAAACCCACATTTAATGATTTTTGTAACTAAAAAAGATCAAATATAGAAATAAATGATTATAAAGATTAATTATGTGATAAATGGAGGCATCTCTGCACACAAATTCTCCTATACTCGTATTACCCTTCTATTATACCGTTCCAATCGATCTGAGTCCCATCTTATGATACCTCTACTCCTTACAACAGAAATCGAATATCTTTATAATTTTAACTCCCTTTGATTATCCATTTATTATATTGCCTTGTGGCGCCAGTTCTTTTTTTTTTGTGAAGATTGATTACATGGCAAGTGTTGCGCCTTGCACTAAAAATTATTGAGATATCCATAATGACAAAGAATAATCTTAATTCATATCAATATGTAAAATTATAAACTTCATTATAAGCAAAATTACGTCCGTTTGGAGAGTTTCTATATTAATTATATTCTAGAGAAAGTTCCCTTTTTTTTATTTATATCACGAAACAAATGATAAATAATAATACATTGCGCATGTGATTTCTATCACAATCTATTATATCCGAAATACGAATTAATTTAACTGATTTAAAATGTCAAACAATTAATTATGCCATAAAGGAGTATTACATTAAATTCAAACAAACTTGAATAATAAAAATTACTATTATTAAAACACCACTATTAAAATTGACTATACTTCCGTTATTTTTCATTATAACAATAGTGTTTGTGGAGATTGGATTAGTCGGAGCCTCCTCAGTGCTTGTGGTCCTTGTGGTGCTCGTAGTACTCGTAGTACTCGTAGTGCTCGTAATATAGTCCGGTGAATACGTGTAAGGATTGTATGTATTGGAATTAGTGTCCAGATGGCATAAGTAATTAGGCATACAATCATAGCCATTCGGGCAACAACCTCCCGAACCATCCGAGCATGCATAATAACCAATAGAGCAAGTCAATTCATGACATAATCCATCTAAACCACAAGTTTGAGTGCTACGGCAGCAACCAGTGCCGCAGGCAATATCTTTATAGGTACAAGGAACGTTGCATTTATAGCCGGGGAGGCAAGCAGCACCCATGGGGCAACATACTATTCCTGAAGAACATAAATAGTAATCGCTAGGACAACCATATGCGCTAGAGTTTAAGGATAGTTTTATGTTGAAAACAGGAGGATTTACTGTAAGTTGTTGGGATGTCCTCGTTATTTCATCAGCAAAAACGAGATTGCCGAAGAATATAACCATGGAGACAAATATCAATTCAAGAAATTGCATGATGAGTTTTAAAGTTAGGATGAGAGAGTTCTTGAACGAGTGTTTATAAATAAATTCAGCTCAGTATTGATGAATCGTTCATTTATTGTTACAAAGACATTATTAACACCGCTTTCAGTGACTTTGTCAACACATAAGAAAAATTACCATTAATCCTGGTGTGATCCAATTTAGGAAACAATTGCTTTGTCCTTGATATTTGAGATCATATACCAAAGATACGCGGCGAATACCGTAAGTAGCGGTATATATTATCATCTCTGTAGAATGTTTTGCCGATCTGTTAATAACATACACGAATAAGAGGCCTTAAAGTTACTAGGACTTAATCCGTACATTTGTTTCACATATTTTTTACATAAGGAATTTTTTCGGAGAAACGGGATTTTTTGGACCCATAATATGTGTCTTAAAAATTACATTGCATACGCATTATTTAAAATAGGGCCAAAAAATTTTAAAGCATTTAACGTTTCGTTGTCTTTAAAGAAAATGCCTGAAATGTCCTTGTATAATTGAATGAAGTCAATTTTTTTAATGGGTCGTCGATCAAACATGCAAGGTTCATGCATGCAGGACAATGCAATTTCCTTTTTTAATTTACAATATACAGTACATTGCATAGTGTACACTTACTTCACTGGTCGATGATCAAATTTAGCAATACTGTACTATATTTTGCGGAATAAAATAATTCCTTGGGTATATTATTATTATTATTATTATTCGTCATTATAATTCCTTTGTGGAATTAATTAGTGCAAACAATTATAGTAATGATCAAATCTTTCTTATCGAGAGTTGTTTGCGTGTACAGCATTGATCATCCTATAATTGAACTTGCAGTGTCCAAAATAATACGTACCAATAAATCGCAGATACATTTGACTATAAAAGGTAAAAATATACTATTATTTACCGAGACAGTGGAACAGCGAGTCTGTTGTTAAATCTGGCAGAGTTTCGCGTGACCGTTAAACAATGTGAGAGAAAATGGATGGTGATGAGACATTATGTATTGGACTAGGTGTTAAATCAATTTTTTCTCTTTGTTTTAGCTTCATTTTTATGACGTGATGATGAAATCATCAGTGCTTGTTCTCTTCGCTGCCTTCCCACCCTCCCACAAAATTATAACGAGAAGTCAAAAAAAGAGGGAAGAAGAAAATAAAAGAAAAAGGGAAACGAAAGCAAAAGGAAAGGAACTGCTTGGGTACTTGCTTGACTATAGGATCTGCTTGGAAATATGCTTTCCAACATTTCGAAATCAAATAAAGTGATAAAGATTAAAGTTGATGATAAAAGAAGGAAATGCGATATACAGTACAAACAATCTGAATGTTTGAAAACCTATTTGTTGACTAACTGAGCTCGCTTAATGATCTGCTTTTCAATGTTCAAATTTGCTGCGGGTCATCACGCATGAACCCAGTTCTCCAGCGTTTAAATATGCTGCATGTTCCCAGTTTTTCGTTACTCTATTTTCTTCGAAATCACCAATTATGAGAGTTATTATAATTAAGAGGCGTTAATTTAAAATCAGCATAAGTTGTTTAATAAGAATAAATTGGGTAGTCACGATTATATACTGTACGTACTTGCAGCGTAGTACTATTTCCGTTCTGTTTTTTCATAGTACTAATAAATGATCTGAGTGAGAATAATATTTTGTGAGAAAAATGATTATTTACGTATTTTTATGCATGTCTAATATTGTTAATCACTACTTTATATACAGTATACTGTATACGTATACTGTAGTTGCACAAATTATTTATATTAGAATTAAGATAAAATTAGCAAATCAATAACAAGCTTTCGACTATATACACAGAGGTAAGACAAATTTCTTCCATATATAGTAGCAAGGTACAGTACACCGTTCCGTAGTTATCATACCACTTATCTTGATTATCATTATTTTCGTCTAAATGGCGTGATTCAATATTATGAACCTGGATTTTGTTTACAATGGGTCCGAGATTTGCGTGACGTGACTGAGAACATGGATATAGTAAAAATGCAGATGATTTGAAAGAACGGAACCAAGTTAACATAATAAGGTTGTAAACACATGAATTAATGTATACTTGTTTAACATTTGACAAACAAATTATCAACACTGTTTACTGTTTATTTTAAAAAATTTACTAACTTGAGGTTCATACAAAATACCTGGATGGAGTTATCAAACAGAAGTCCAATTATTATAGGATAGGGAAGAAGATGAAACGGAAAAGAAGAAAAAAAAAACATTAACTAATACTTGTATCGTGAAAATTTTTAAATATACGAAGATACAGGTGCAATAAGAAATCTCCAAAGTATATGCCTTGCGCTGTGTTATAAAGAAGTTTCGACAAAGTTACTATGTCTAAAGTTATTTGTTTTGTTTCCACTGCAGATTACGCTGGTATGATTTAGCGACAGAATCGCCGATAGCCATTATACCATAGTATCACGCCATATTCTCATTGTCAAAAACACCAATTGAGGAATATCAAACTTATTATATTTATTACTTTTTTTAAATACATACAGTAACTAAAAAATTTGGTCTTTAATTAGGTAATATAATACTTTCAAATTGCAAATATACTGATAGTATCCGTGTATTATCTATTTTCTTTTTACTCGTTTTATTATGATAAATCGAATGATCTGTATTTTCTAGCCGTGTTGGTGATTAAATCGATACGAATTATTGCAAAACAAAATTTAACTTATTGTGACGAATTAAGGGAGTATTAGAAAATATTCAGGCAATATAGTAAAATTCAAAAGGTATATGTCTTTTAAGAGTTGTTTTGTTCTGAAGAAGTTAAAATCAGCTGTACAATGTTTGTCAGGAGACCAAGGTCATGTTACGTTGTACATACTCCTGTACATAGAGCCGATTAGTTTCGCGAAGGTTAAAACATGGAGAAGTTGGAAATATAATATAATATACTTAAAGTACAAGTAATATGGCACCAGTTAACTTGGATCATAACAATAAGGGATTTGCAATACTCAATTGTATGTATAGCATATATATATTTCGTTGGTTTCTTATTTCACATCATTACATACTGTAAGTAGAGGAATTAAAAAAGGAAAAATTCTTTAATAAAACGTGGTGCACATATCAACTTAGAGCAAAATCAGAAGTTTTCTTTGTTTATTGTAATTTTTTTATTCTTATCGTGAGATCACGCGAAAATCTGTCCGGAGTTAACGAAAGACCCGCCATGTAGCCGCAATAAACAAGTCAAATTTAGAATAATTTGAACATCGAATGTTCTTACTTCGGCGTAACGAAAATGAGTCATCCATTAATATTTTCTTGCGGTATATAAACGACCAGATGTTCTAGACAAATTTTGTAAAAACGGTGCGCGCATAATACTCTGCCTTTATAAATTTAAATTTCTCAAGACTTTACAATGAATAAATTTAAATTAAATTTACTCTGGCTTTTTATTACTGTTATTGGATTCTTTTCAAGGCAGATTATTGCTCTTGAATGTCGAGATTATTCCGATCCATTCTCCTACAAATCCATAAAAGTTAATTGCGATATTATCAAAAACGAAAACTATGCTAGATTTTTAAACTCAACCAAGTTTGTCTCTCCTAGCAGTGCATTTGTAATTGATTTTACTTGTGGTTCCAGCGACGTAAATTTGTGTAAAAAAGCGAAAAATGCTTTCTTATCGGCTGGTCAGAGAATTGCATCGGTTATTCAATTTAATACACCTATAAATGTAAAAGCATCATTTGATAAACTATCAACGAATACTCTTGGTAAGTACAAGGAAAGCCAATATAACTTTCTTTCTACGAAACCCTTAAGCTTAGCATTTTTACGTTAACCATATATGAAGGACAAGCGTCTCCCGCTCGACTCATTCCATTAAAAGATCGAGATGGAATAATCAGACTTTATCCTCAAGCTCTTGTAAAACAGATGCAGTTTCCTAAACATCCAGAATTTAATAACTATGATATTTTAGCAGAATTTACCACCACAGCCAAATGGTTCTTTAAAGAAGATGTGAATATACAAAAAGATCAATACGATTTTGAATATGTCATTACTCATGAAATTATACACGGACTAGGGTTTATTTCTGGATGGAGAGAGTAAACCATTTCACATTGTTTTTTTATTTAATGTTTTGCATCCAAAAAAATATAATGTTTACTTTTATTTTATGCAGATGGTTTCTCTCGAGCCTTTCAGACTTGACACCATACCCTCTGTTTTTAGATGATAGCACAGATCCAAATAAATTAATAACATATACTGGTTTCTTCGAAATGGCCTTTGATAGATATATGATGTTGAATCTCACGAAAAAAACAATGATAACAACTCTAGCTCAAGAAATAAATAGATTTGCTCCAATTGGAAAGAAGTTTGCCTCACTAAGTTCATTTGAAAAGGAATTTCAAAGTTCACCCCAAGCTCTTATAGCGAAAAATCTATCGCTTGCGGCAATAATCCCATATACTATGGATTTCGTGACACATGATTCTACTCCAGTTATCCTCGAAACATCATTAAACCCCTACTCAATTAAATCAAGTATTTCTCATGTAGACACCTTATACACGGATACTTCTGATTTTTTAATGGTATACGATTCCAAACACGGTATCCGGTTTGATGATCTTGCTAAAAATTATGGAGGCGTAATAGGTTCCAAACTCATCAAAGTTTTGGAAACATTAGGGTGCGCATGACTTATCTAGGCAATTTTGTTTAATCAATCCTAATATACAATTTTACGCATTTTATATTGTAGGTATACAACTCCGAAAAAACCCGTCACCTTATAAGCCCAATTTGCCATAGGCAGTTGCCAATAACTTTTCTTTTAAACACGATGATCGAATGGATTATTTCTGTTGCAGTAGCATAATTTGTTCATCTAATGATACCAATTTTTATTATTTCATATAGCTAGTCACATGCAGTCAAACAATCCCAAATTCGCATAATAATTAACATTATACAATATTCCATTCAATTACACAACATATTTAAAGAGCTCAGATTTTATTGTTTGTAAATAAAGTTTCATGGTTATTTTCTATTAACGACAAAGTGTAGATCCAAAATTTTTATGAAGTTAAAAATAACGAGAAAAAATACTTGTTTTTTATTTGATTCATTTAGAATTACATTTTTAATCACTTTCTTTCATTTTAATAATAAAAATATATCTATTTTTTTTTGGAATCAAATATACTGTATTATGACATGGGTACTTAAAAGTTCTTGTTTTTTAATCAGAATATCTCTAGAATTTTTATTTTTATATTTCTAATTAAAGATTACTTTTGATATCACAAATATAATAATGATAAATATTGCCAAAATAATTTATATCAAATATTTTTAAAGGGACCAAAGTTTTTTTTAGAACTAACCTACAATACAATTATGCTTAATGCTAATTTTTAGTTTCAAAATTATTCATTGTATTTTCTAAGCTGTGTTTAACTAAATATTATAAAAAAAATCATTGAAACCTCAAAATTACATTATAATTTATGATATTTTTTTTAACATTGACTTTTATTATTTATTCTTAGAACACTCGAAATCATATAAACTATTAAAAATCTTGATTTGTTTTAGATGTATATGAAATTTTGCCGTATAAACTTTAAAATTATCAAATATACTTTATGCTTTCATATTTTAATTAAGTACGATTTATTGCATAGTTATGTTTTATTACTATAATTTAAATCAATGCAAATCTTATTGATTCATATTTAAGTATTTTAGTTATTACAAAAAAAATATTACAAATTAAAAGTGTTTCAAAAACAAATAAAATTATTTATCATTCCAAAAACTTATTGAGATGAGGGATCAGAAAAAATTGCATATAGTTATTTAAATATTATTTTATGAAAAAAATTAGGTATTTTTTAATTTTATTATTTCTTTTTAATCACAATACCCTAAATTTTTTATTAATAGTTTCAATAAAATAGTTGAAAATTATTTTATAAGATTATAAATTAAGATTGGATATTGGTTTAAGTTTTAGTTTCAAGTAAAAAATTATTCGAATAATATAAAAAGAGACTAAAAAAAAAATTTTGCGTTAGAAAATAATAATAATTTTTTTTTAAAAAAAAATTTATATTCCTAAATTAAAATCTCGTGTATCTTGATTTGTTAACCATCGTCTTTATAATTAAATACAATATAATTCAACCTGATTTATTATTTAACCAAGATATTAGACAATCAAATATTTCAACAATTTTTATATAATAATTAGAATATTTATATTTCACTTAAATATCGAACAAAGTTGTATCCATACAGTATATATAAATATTTTATTTGATAATAAAATGTATTCCGTGTTATGCTATAATTCAGCATATGATATAGTGTGCACTATGCAGAAATATAAAATTATTATGTTTTATGATATAATTTCCTTTTAAAGTTGTAGACTAACGTATTATAACAATAAGAAAACAATTTATAACCTCACATCTAGTATACAAAAGTACGAAATAAATTTTGTGTTTATATACATATTTATGTTATTTCGATTATATTGCTAACGTCAATCTACACTTATGCTAATTTCTTTATTTGCTTTGTCACAATGCCTACTCACGTCATTTATGTTATTGTCTCTTAGTCTTTTCTCTTTCTGGTACTTTTTTTGTAACTTCCAAGATTCAAAACATTCCTTCCTGTATTTCCATTCACTTTTAATAGTTTCTGAAAGTTTTACGCCCGCCACATAAACAATTATTCCTGTCGGTACAAATAAAAAATAAACCATAATACCAAATACAAAAATCCCCACATAGATCCAAGATGAAATCATTAATTTAATGTGATATTGACATGTCAAATTTAGTGGCTCGTCAATCCCAGGTATCACATAAAATTTGGGATCATATTCTAAATTGAAAAAAAAAAAAATTTTTTTTTAATACAAGCTTGATTTTAATATTCTATAAAAATCCTTACCACGAGGACATGTTAGAGGTTGGCCACGAATAAAGTCAAAAGACGCGGAAAATGCGAATATTGCCGACAGGATCAATCCATAGCTTTAATTTATTAAGGAATTTAATCTTTTATATATTTCTTTCTTTAACAATATGATTTTAAAATAACTTACATAATCTTGCGAGGAAACAGAAGATAGGCCATGTTTAAATCTAGAATGAATGCCATGAAAATAAATTTAGAAAGAGGCGAATCATTTTATCTGAAGTTTAAATAATGAAATAAATAATCGATTATACATACAAATAATAAAGGTACACACCCACAATACGGTGTAAATTTTTATACCAAACTTACTGTTAAAATTAATTTATGATCAATAATCATTATAATACAAATTAATGACAATAAAAAGTAACTTTGAATACTTTAAATCTCTAAAATACTCCGGAGCCAAATTATCGTCTTTGGAATGCGTTTCATTGTAATGGTCTGCCCTCATGATAGCTGCATCATAATAATTACTACTCTCTCTAACTTCTATAGACATTGATCATTTGGTGGTTATTTATAAATACAGTATAATAAGAATAATACCAATACGTAAATAAGAAAACTTTACAATACCAAAATGCATACAAGCGATACAAGAGGCAAATCCAAAGGAACACATATAAAATATCATGAATATTCCTGTATATGGATAATTAGCATAAGTGTAGATTGACGTTAGCAATATAATCGAAATAACATAAAT